TTACAAACAAATATCTATCAGAAATGGAATTGGGATCTTATATTAGCCTTACTAAAAGTAATACTAAATTACTTAAGAAACTTTCCTACAATTCTTCATCTTATAGGATTTTTCTAAATTGGCAAATCAAACCCAAGGTGATCTTTATGAACGGTTAGTTATTTAGTATTTACAGTGAAGTGCAAAAGTCAATTTTCTACACGCATACCTCTGAAAGATAGAATAAGATCTACATATAATTATGTAAACTAGAGGGTGTGGGTGTGGGTGCGACTATGAGTATTCTATCCTATCACACCCACACCCACGCTCGAGAATTTTGCAGTATTGAATTTTAGCAATTTTTAACAATATGTTGATTTATTTAGGTTTCTTGATAAACTATTTGATTTTTTCAAACCTGAAAACAAAGATGGTTTTAGTAGTATTCAATTAACTGATTCTCTATCCAATGTTACTTGCCGAAGTTTAATAGCATTTTCTGATCTTCTTGTTTATCCATCTCGAATACAATCGAATCATATAAAAGTATAAAATAATAAAGAAATTATTTTTCGATAAAGAAAATCTTTCTTTTACTTTATAGTATATTGCAAGCAATATTGCTCGAACACTTTTAACAAGTATTAATGATGCATTAAAACAAGTAAAGAAATTTTTCTTTAAAAAATAAAACTCTAATTGTTTTTTGAATATTTGAATTAATAGTCAATTTTAGCTATGACAGAAGATATCGGACGTGCTATTATAACTGAACATGATTTATTATCAAAAAATAGTGTTTATTATTATCTATTTCTTGGTCGTTTAAGTAAAACAGCATTTGGTGTAGAAGCTTTAACTGAAAGTGAAATATTCGTTCGGTAAATTTTTTTGTATTTTAAATTGATCTTTTATATTCAACAAAATTTTCTTCAGTCTTTTGGAAATGTTAAGAATGGATGATTGTTTTGCAACGTCAGCTATTGTTGCATTATCATCATTTAATTATTATTACGATGGTTCATGTCGGCATTTTCTTGTACAAGCACTTAAAACACCTTGTATGGTAAGTAAATCAAACTGAAAATGACATCTTATTCATTATTGAAATTGTAATATATTTTTCTAGGCACTTCGTTTATATTGTACTAGTCTTCTACGTGTTATTCTTCGTTGTAATCCAGTTGCATTCGGTACTTGGGGTGTAGATCTTTTATGTTCTCAGTTACATGATACAAATCAAACCGTTGTTCTTGAAACTGTTTCAATTATTGATGAAGCTTTAGAAGATAAAGTAAAGTGATTATTTTGATTTTAATCTAAAACTTTTCTTTTGTTTAATTAGAGATTAACTAATATATTTCATAAGCAATGGCATGCATTAACTGCTTTAAAAACTAAAAGCTCATATTTAAATGATATATATCATTTAATTTCTGCACGTTTATGTTCTATACCATTTAATCAATTAAGTGCGGATA